TGTGAGACGCTTAGATTAATTTTATTCAATCCCACCCTTGTCAATCTATTTTATCCAGCCAAACAAACACCTCATGTAGGATCTGATTACTTGATGCCCAAGCTAAACGATCTTTCCTAGTCCTTAGGTTAAATAGTAATAAGGGATAAGAAATAAGTTCAGACATTTTAAGTTTAAATTTTGATAATTTCTAAAACCCAGATCATAACAAATTTATCCCTCATGAATTTTTTACTGCCCGCATAAATTACCCAGAAAGAAATGCCCAATTACTTAGGGGTTGTTTGGTACGTGAGTTTCTTTTTTTTTGGGGGTGTTTGGGAACATGTTTTGGGAGTAAACTCATGTTTGAAGATCATGAAATATATGAATAGAATTTCAAACTCTGTCCGATCGTGACCCGGTGAAACCAAAGTATGTGGGTTTTATTTGTGGGTTTTGGGGTTTAATAGGTAAATAATATTTATACCCCTATATATCTCATATATACAAATTAATTAAGGGATATAATAATTATTTTATATACAAATATATTATTATAAGAGTTATATATTCTTATACATACCAAACATGAATATAAATAACATTAAATATTGAATTCTATCTTTAAATCTTATCTCTGGGTCAACCCGAATTTAAACGATCCAATTCCTCCGCTGTCTCTGTTCCCTTCCTCTTGGTGTGCGACTCAAGACTCCCGCGTAGCATCCATCGTTTTGTACTTCTGTTCAACATCATTTCTCAATTCACTTCGGAAATTAACAACACCGACAAATGGAAGCCAAAATTGGGAAATTCTTCGACTCGGTCGGCGGCTTCTTCACCGGCGGCGATCAGATTCCGTGGTGCGACCCCGATATCATCCGTGTCAGTATCTCTTCCCTTTATCTCCCTGTCGAATTCCTTTTTTTTTTTACAAAGAAGGGTTTCTTTGATCGTGAATTGATAATTCCGATATTAATTGCTTGAATTTAGACGAAATAGGGGTTTATTTGTTTGTGTGCGGCTTTTTGTATCTTGACTTTCTTTTCACGGTATGGATTCAACTCCAGAACTGAGCTAGGTTCTGTTCGGTTACCATGAATACTTAATAGTAATAGGGGAAGGATTCGAAATATTGAAACAGATCGGGAATCAGAGGAATCTTGAAATACAGTGCAATGTATTGATTAGGAAAGCGGTTGTTTCCAAGAGTGAAAATCAGAGAGAAGGATATGTGCAGTTTGGTCTCCATTAGAGGATCTAGGGGGTGGATTCGGTGCAGACTTAAAAGTAAGACTATTTGTACCAGGCAGATGTGTTTCTATTCAAACCCTCTACATGGCAGTTGTGAGCTTGACGACTCTACCATTGCACTAGCGGATGGCCCCTTTGGAATGAAGGGAAAGGTAGAGATGTATACAGACAGGGAAATGTAAGCACGGAAGGTCTTTGCGTTGGGGATATCAAGATACTGATCCATTGGCCGATGGAATGTGGAATGGACTAACAGAGCTTTGGATAAATCCATATGGAATGATGCATTGTGAACGAATAATTTTTCTTTGCAGTATCCTATGAAGGAAAATAGTGCATTTATGTCGGTGGTTAGCTTTGAGCATTCTATTGCTTTGGTAGTGATTCCTATAACGATGTGTGCGATCCGAGTTACTTAGAACTAATGACCTTGTTCTTAAGTGATCTGGCCCCGTAGACTCAAATTTGTGTGTGTGAGAGAGAGAGAGAGGGACAGAGAGTGTTTTTAATAAGTGAAAAATAAATTTGCACTGCTGTGGGTTAACACCAACTGGTTGAACGAGCCAATGGAAGTTCGTTTGGTTAGATGGAGAATGCTAGAAAAATGAAGTTTCTTACTTTTGGTTTGCATGAAACAAAAAATTATTGGTAAATTAGTTGTAAACTATTTTCTTGCTTTTGATGGATTTTTCCAAAAATACAAATATTTTCCTTAAAAAAACACAAAAGGGAAAATTCCCATAAAAATGATTTTGTATTAATTTTGAATGCCCAATTTTCCATTTTCTTTCCTACAATTTTCAAAATTTCCAATTGTTTGGATATTAAATCCTTACCTTGTGTTATATAAGGTTTGGGTTGTTGACCATATGCATATGCTTGGTTAAGCAGTGTTTTGATGATAACAAGGGGGAGTAGTGAGACAGTGAGACACATTATTTAAGTTTGAAAATACTTGCATTGATTGTAAAGGTTTGATTTTCACCCTTTGAAGAAGATCACTATAGAAGATCGAGATAGTGAAAACTGAAAAGGGAACTCCAAGGAGGAGTTAAAAAGATTACGTAGGCTATAACGAACCTCTATAAATCATGTTTGCATTTCTTCTTCCCTACTAGTCATTTGCATCATTCAGATACATTCTTATCATATCGTTGTTGATATTGCATAATTGGTAAAAATGAAAGAGAGTCAAAATTAGTCATTAAATCAAACAACTTAGAATTGTGTCAGTTCCATCTTTTTTTTTTTTAAATAAAAAAAGCTTCTTTGGAGTCAAAAGCTTTTGAATTTTTAGAAGTGATTATGAACACAGAATGTGCATGGAGAAATGTCTTTGGTTTGCATTTGGTTGCCTCAACGTTGCGCACTGCATCAAATGGCTGAATTGTTTTGGAATTAGAAATGTCACTTTTTTGGCTAGCTTGATACCTGGTTCAACAGGATTTAATGATTTATGGATGAATAGAAGCGTTTAATTTAATCTATTTAGGTTATTATATCTTGTTTAGACTAAAAAATTTGTTGTTGTTTTCTAATTTCAAATTGTTCTTTTTGAATTTTTTTTTCCCACTTTTTTCCCGTCAGTTGTTTATTTGCCTTTCTAACCTCTACTTCATCTGCAGGGTTGTGAGCGTGAGGTTGCTGAGGCTGAGAAAGGTGGTTCTGATGAACTTAAAGCTGAATGCATTATGCGCTTGTCATGGGCGCTTGTTCACTCAAGACAACCTGAAAATGTTCAGCGTGGGATAGCAATGCTTGAAGGTTAATAATCAGATGCATGGACTTACCAATTTACCATTTCTCTCTCTTTTTTGGCTGTGGCTCAAATTGTATGAAGAACTCTTGTGGTTGTTTTTGATCCTTTGATGTTGGACATCATGCATGCTCCTGCTGCTAACTAGGCTCCCCCCCCCTCCTTCTTCTTTGTCTGTTTTCCTCTTCATCTTCTTTTCCCTTTCTCAAATTTCTTTCTTTTTAGCATTTATTTTTTCTTCTTCTCTTCCCTCCTCCCCTCTGTTCTTTATTGCTTTTTGGTGTGACAACCCTGTGTGTTTTTCCTCCCGCTTATCCCTTTTGGGGTGGTGAACTAGGCCACATGCTGATAACTTATAAAACTTGTCATTGGCAGCTTCTTTGGCCGGCAGTAGTAGCCCACTGCAAATGAGGGAAAAGATGTATCTTCTGGCTGTTGGGTATTATAGAAGTGGGGACTATTCAAGGAGCAGACAGCTTGTTGAACGTTGTTTGGAGGTATGATCTTCTGTGTTCTAGCTCGTTAGTTATTGTTGTAAATTTTATATTTGTTGTTTTTTTGTCAAAATTTCATAGTAGATTTCTGTCTTCAGTGCTTAAATTTCCATTACGCTGCATAAATTTGATCTTTGTCTGGTCAAGTCTAATGGTGTATGTTATAATATACCTGATCTTTGTTAAGTTTATCATGTGTATGTCTCTGTATTGGATTGAAAAGTGTGTTAGGCATTTAAAAGTGCAGCCTTTCGCTCTCAGTTTTGTGTCTAAAATTTGCATAATAACATGGGTGTGAATTGTAGATTGCGCCTGACTGGAGGCAGGCCTTGACCATTAAGAAAACGATTGAAGATCGAATTAAAAAAGGTAATGCATAATCATTTTTTTTTCTTTTATTTTTCATCAGGTTGGGCTGTGAGGGACTGATGACAAATTTATTTGCCTCCACAATTTTCATATTCTGTAATGCAGATGGAGTGATTGGCATAGGCATTGCTGCTACTGCCGTTGGAGTTTTGGCTGGTGGAATTGCAGCAGCACTGTCTCGTAAGAAATAATCTAACCTTGTAACCCACCTATGTGCTTGACAAATCCACCTGTGTGTGTGTATTCCTGAATCACATTCTGTGAGTGCCCGGTACTATCTTTAGCTTTTTTTTTTCTCCTTGTACAACTCGCCTGAGAGAACAAAGATATCTGAAAAGTGGAACATACTTTACTGTATCTTTTGTTTTGTGCTTTATGTTTTTATATAGAACAGTTTTACCAGAAATGGTCTTCCATACTGCCTTCATGTGTTGCTTTGCTTCGGTATTCTAATTTTAATGGATTACTTGGATAAATATTTTGCAAAGCTTTGGCTAGCGTCAAGATTGGTTTCTTTTAGTTGGCTTTGTGTATAGCCAGCTAAAATTCGCCAATAGGTTGCCAAAAAGGTTGAAGCTCGCCATTAGCGTTTACTAGTCTACTTTTACGATCTGATGTTTATATAGTTATCTATGCTTGTATATTTTGTTCTGATGGTTTTCAAAAACGACTCAAAAGAACGAAATTGCTCTCTATTTGGATCCTCTCAACTTGAAAATTTCCCAACGGTCATCATTTTCAATAATCCAGCGTTAAATCATTTTTGCTTCACTTGTCTGCCCCAATGATGATGGTGTAAATTTTCAAACGGAGAGGATAGGAACCCATTGATGGGGGGAAGGTTCAGTGGCCAGGATGAGGTGGGATGGTCCAGTTTGGCCATTGCTTGTTGGTGGCTGGGTTTGATTCGACCACCTCCCTCCTCCTCTCCACTGTGTTGTGTGAGAAAAATTGTGTCCACGATCTCTTCATGTTCAGATTAAAGGGGGGCAAAAGGCACTGTAGTTTTGGTATATAATATGCCCTACTTTATTAATACAGCAACGTTTGGAAATAATCTGATTATGATTCAAACCTATTATGTTGAAGTTCATATTCGATAATTGTGGGTCCACGTCTGAATGAGTAATGCTATACAACACAAATAAATATCATTATTGAGTGAGTTTTATCAAATTTTTCAGTGGGCCCAAATCATTCAAGTTTTATCAGGTTGTATTTAAGTTGTAATTTTTAAGTTTTATTTAGGTTATGTATTATTTTCCTACATTAAGAATTGAGATTTTTATCAGGTTGACGGTAATTTCTAGTGGACGTGTGGAACGTCGTCATCGTACATAGCAAAGTAAATTGGATTGGTCTGTAAATTACTAGTGGGGAACCAGTTCGCATCTCCACCTAGAGCTTCAGCTAAGCCAACTTTTCAGATAGGTGGTTGTGAGGAGAAAAAATATGAAAAATAAAAAAGATCAAAATTGTTTTTAAGAAAAATCTAAATGATTAGTGGCTACATAAACAATTTGAAGGAATTTGATTAGAGGAAATTTAATTTTTCAAAAAAAATTAATTAGTTAATAATTAATATTTGGGGAGGGGAGATTTAAAGACTTCTGCTCCAAATTATATTTTGATAGTCAAAGGATTAAATTTCGTTTCGATATATTATTTTGGTCACCTAAGAAATAGAAAAAATTTAGAAATGTCTTTAAAATATTTCGAAAATAGACCGGACAGAAATGAAAAAAAAAATTATTTATTTTTGAAACTCCTCAAAGCATAGGGAGTTCAATGTCCAATTACTGATTTATTTCAAATTTTATGAAAATAGAAATATTTTATCATTTTGGAAGTTTCAAAATGAAATCCTTATTAATAGTGGTGGAGATAAAAACAAATGTGTCGATATAAGATTATCTGTGTCCAATGGAGGGCAGTTTGGGAATCCATAATATGCTGTTTACTTTATATATACTTTGTTTAATAAACAAGCACGCAAGGCTCCATGGCCCAATGGATAAGGCGCTGGTCTACGAAACCAGAGATTCTGGGTTCGATCCCCAGTGGAGTCGTTTTTCTTTGCTTTAATTTCTGATTTTGATGGCTTTGATAATATGCAGCCGATGCCACCTAAGACTTACAGTGTTGCGGGTTCCTAGTGGATTCCATTCTCTGCTACTAAGTCAAACTTTGACGTGGCAAAATCTTGGTGGCTTTTCTTTTCTTCACTACTCCTGAGCAATCTCACCCACTTGTCTATTATCTTAGTAAGTACTGAATTAGATATCAATGATAAAAATTTTAGCCAATTTTTAAAAATAATGCTACTTAAATCCATCTCAGTGACTTAATTTGTGAGTTCAATCATTTGCCGCTGTAAGATTACAAGTGACTCATTCGGCATCCATTATCAATCTAAGAGTAACAATGAATTAGATCAACTGATTAGATTATAACAATATTATTGATCTTTAAAAACTAACTAAATTTAAAAAATAATGAAAATTTTTTATTGTTATTCGTACTTAATTGAGAAAGTATAGAATAATATTTTAATTTTAAGCGATGAAAAAGGTTATCAAAGAACCCATGGGAATTGTACAAATATAATGTTAAAGTATTTATATAAAAAATATATACAAATGCATACAAATAAGTTGAACTCCATCTTCTCCTAAGATCTCCCCACCTCGTATATACACCTATCGATCGATTGAATATGGACAAGCTTCTATCATTCGTATTCGTTTACAATTTATGTATTCTGATTATTTGATGGGTCTGAAATTTTGATTCATATCTGAATTTTTTAGTTTTTGGATATCTTGTCCAAAAATCCGAACCGTTCTATTTATGTACAAAATAAAATAAACCTACAAATATCTCACAAATTATGACAAATTTAACTTCGCACAAAAAAAAAAATTATAATGCTTACTCATTTTAAGTCTTAACAAACAACATAAAATAAATATGTCAACCTCAATTTTAGTTATAAATATGGAAGAAGAATGCAGTAGTAAACAATCGTGCGAGATGAAAAGATGTCGATGGATATAATCGCACGTGATATAAAATATAAAAATAGAAGATATATATAATTCATATCAGATTGTTAACGGATTGGATTTGATAAATCAAAATCTGAATCTATTAAATATAATATAATGTATTCGAATTCGGATTCAGATTCGGATAATTGATAAAAATTATTAATTCATATTCGACTAATTGGATTCGGATCAAAATTTGATTCATTGATAAACCTACTATATTGTTCCGTGATTTACATACAAGTGTTCAAATTATGAAAATAATTTCTATATGCATAAACTTAAAATTACGTTTCTAACCTTTTCATAGTCCACTAATACGAGCAATGTAGTAGTTTTTGGTTGACTCTTAGGATCACAATCCTTATCCCAACTTATGGTGGTTGGGCAGTTGCCTTCTCTTTAGTGTCACAAGCAATCCACCTCTCATCTTAAGAAGAAGTGATAAACTGTAAGGCGGGTTCATCATCCTCTCTACAGTCCCTCCACCATCAACGGCCTCAATCTCAAACCTATACATCACAGCCGCAGCAACTGACTTCATCTGCACGTAAGCCATCTCTTTCCCCAAACACATCCTGGGCCCACAATGAAACACTGGAAACTTGAACTGATCCGACGGCTGAAAAACACCTTCATCATCCAACCATCGCTCTGGCCTATACTCCATACAATCTGGGCCCCACAATCTCTCCATTCTCCCCGTTGCATAAGCTGAGTAATCAGCAAACCACCCTTTACCCACGTGGGTCCCATCACTCCAAGTATCATCATCCACCGTTAGTCTCGAATTGATTGGTACAGGAGGAAAGAGTCGTAGTGATTCAGATAAGGCTGCATGTAGGTAATGGAGACTCTTCAGTTCATCGTAGTTGAAATTCTCCGGCCAATTTTCCGGCGATGCTGACACCACTGCTAATAGTTCCTCACAGATCAACCGCCCACAACGAGGATGACCGGCGATTAACCAGAAAAACCAAGTCAACGCCGTGGAGGTTGAGTCCTTACCTGCAAAGACGGAAATTATATATTTGCCCACCTCAGTTAATTAATTAGTCTAAAAGTCAATAATATTTTCTTAAAATGGGTGATTTGCACTTTGTACCCAAAAAAATTTATTTTATACCCATAAATATTAGATTTTATATATTATACTCTTAGTGTATTAAAAATATTGTACCATGGCTCAGTCGTTAATTCTCGTTGCTTATTAATGAGAGAGTTACATTGCAATAATTTAATACATTATTACACCCTCTTTCCTACGCTTTTGGAGATCAGGACGAAAGACTCATATTTTCTGATAGTTTTTGGATTTTCGGTCACTTGCTAAAAGTTAACGACTTTACTCTCTTTTTAAACCCCAGCCTTAAAATATACTTTCATAAGTTTATGCTCTAATACCATGAAACACTTCACTAATTGAAAATAGTATATTATAATATTTTTAATATCTTATGAGTATAATATAAAAAATGGTACAAAATAAAAAAAAATTATATTTTTTTGGGAGCGTTATTGGCACAAATTCTAGGGGGATAATTTGTAATTTCTATTTAATGCTAAGGAATAAACTTTGAGCAACGCTATTGTGATATAATTTGGGGACATAATGAGTTGTCGCTAATAAAATGATAATGAATTCATTTGATGCTACAATGAAATCTATCATTAAATATAATTCACTATCATTTTATTAGTGACAAATCATTATTGTGTCTTCGATTTATATTCATAAATTATGTCCCACCAAACTTTTGAACAACGAAGGCTTCCAAAATCTCTGAAAATTTTGAGGAATGTGAGGAAGCTCATACCTGCAAGTATGAAGCTGATCACTATATCTCTCAAGAACTTCCTCTTCTCATCTTGATCAAGAAACCCTAAATTTGAGGTAGACCCCATGAATCTTGATAGCAAATCGTCACTTGGTTCTCGCTCTTTTTCCTCATTGATTTCACTTTCTCTCTCTTTAGATCTAATGATATTCATAGCATAATTGATGGGACTCTTCTGAAAAGCCTATGATGAAGACACGTGTCCTCGGGGGTTTTTAGAACAATGTTACTCGGGTTCGAGCACCATCGGCAAGGCGTCCTCTCCCCCCGAGGTACCTCTCATATAGGATTACATATTCGGTACATTATACAATGACATGTGTCCTCGGTCACCATGTACCTCGGGGACACACCACCCCTTGGTCCCGAGGTGAGCCTTTCCTCGGCGCCGAGGGTCACTCCATCCTGGACGCTTCCTCTACTCCCGGATAAGGCCACTGACATACTGGACATCAGCCTATGCCAGTATGGATTAGTCATCATGACCTCTTCTTACACAAGTAATGTCAGAACGTTCTGGAATACCGACGTAACAGCCAACAAGGGATGGACGCGTGGCAAATAATGTCACATCCGAAGCAGACAAACCGCATGCCGTTGCTGACACGCGACTTGGGAAAGCAAACAATTAATTGCACCCTTCTGATGACGAGACCGCATTCAATGCGGTAAGGTTCGGATATGAAAGGCAATAAATGCTCCTATTACAGAACATTTATTGCATCCTTCCCGACAGGAGCATATTGTACCGTCGGCATCCCGACAGACTCAGCATTGATTGTTCGGGACCCCGAGCAGTCAATTAGAGAAGACATTCCTCATCAAATGATTACGCACGCTACCTGTGCCTGATGATTACCTACTGACCGCACTGACAGCAATCACGATCTTCTAAGGTATAAATACCCCTCCCAAAAGACAAAGCGGGTATGCAATCAAAAACTCTCAACTACGAACTATCCTTCTCAGTGTTTTCTCCTTCCTCTCTCTCATTCAAAGACTGACTAGACCGTCGGAGGGGATACGCCGGAAAACACTCCGGCGCCCTTCTAACTTGTTCTCTTTTGTCTTAGGAAATACCTTTCGCACGTACAGGATCGTCCTTCCTTTCCCAAGGCCTTCCTTTGCCGTTCCAGGTTGCCACCGTACCTCGAAGGTTGTCTCCAGCAGCGTGTTTGGCCACTCAACCGGCTCACTCAGAGTTCACCAGGGGAGAGATCTGTTCCCAATATTTTATATATATCGTGCAGGATCGAGCCCGCACAATCTGGCGCCGTCTGTGGGAAACGAGTAGTTTTCCTAATCTTTTCTCTAAAAAGAACAGTGACCATGGTGAACACCAGACAGAAAGGGAAAGGACCCCACCAACGGAGTCATGAGTTGCAGGCTCCCTGCCATCACGGGGGGAGGGATCGGACCAGTACGGTTAAAAGTGCCTCTACTCGGTCAAGGGGGGTAACCCCCCAAACCAGTATGGGGATCAGGTCAGGAGGAACAGCCCCCTTGGCCCGTCAGCTGGCAGAGGTGATAGAAGAGAAATTTGGCGATAGATTACGTCAGCTGGAGAAGGACAATGTAAACGTCCTTAGCCGGCTCGACGAGTTTGCTGCCTCAGGCGGAGGGTCGAAGGACTCATTCCTCTCCCGAGGACTCCCCGTCCATGAGGCGGAGACGAAGGATCTAAGGAACCACCTGGATCACAAAGCAGAGAGCTCCAGGGCCCCGAAGCGACCCAATGCCGGCGAATGCCATCTTGACAACCATTCCAGGAAGGCAAGGCCCTTGGCCCTGGACGACCTCCGGCGAGGTTTATCCAGACGGAGGAGGGGAGATGAATCCGAGGAGGACTCAACCCAATCTACACGACGCCCAGGAAACGAGGGGCTTACCGACGAACCCAGAGACTTCAGGAGGCATCCCGTAAGGGAAGTAGATCTCAGAGCCCGATTGGACTCCAGAAGAAAGGGCAAGACAATCCAGGACGAGGCCGAGGATGAAGTCATGCAAACACCCTTCACGAGGGAAATCAGTGAGATGGACGTCTCAAGAAAGTTCGTCGTGCCACGGTTCAAGACCTATGATGGGCGATCTGATCCCGATGCCCATATCAGACAGTATAAGCAGATGATGTCCCTCTATCATTCGGACCAACGGTTTCTATGCCGGGTGTTCCCTATGAGCTTGGGGGACTCCGCGATGAGGTGGTTCGAGGCGCTTCCCCCAAACAGTATTGGGTCCTGGAAAGAATTGACAAGGCAGTTCCTAACCCGATTCATCACGGGGAGTAAGCGCCCAAAGGACATTGGATCACTGCTGACCCTCAGGAGGAGGGAATCCGAGACTCTTCGCCAGTACGCCATCCGATACTGGGAAGAAGTCAATGAGGTCGAGGGATGCTCGGAGGTCATGGCAGCAGCATCATTCCGGCTCGGCTTGGCAGGGACACGGACCTGTACCGATCCCTGACCAAAAAGACTCCCTCGGATATGGGGGAACTGATGGCCCGAATCAACAAGTACTCAAGGGTCGAGGACGAGATGGGGAGCAACAAAGGCCGAGCCCCCAACCCAAGAGAAAGGAAAAAGAGCACGAAGATATTCCCCGGAAGGGATTGCTACCCCGTCCAGGGGGTTCGTCCAGAGGAGTTCACACCGTCTTCAAGGAACCCATCTTCAGGTTGCTCCATAAAATCAAACGCGAGCCGTTCTTCAAATGGCCGCCCAGGATGCAAAGCGACCCCTCCACCCGTGATCAAACAGTAAGGTGTTCATATCACCGGGATGTCGGGCATCGCACCGAGAGCTGCAGGGTGTTCAAGTCATTCTTGGAGAACTTAGTCCGAGATGGATACCTGAAAGAATACATAGAGCCTAGGCCAGAAGAAAACGAGTCCCTGCCCCGACCGAGGAACCAAACAACGTCATAGACGTCATCCATGTGTGTCCACTGGAGCGCCCCACGTCCAAAGAGCTCGAATCCGACCTCAAGAGGGTAGCCTTTACCAGAAAGGTAGCCGAAGGAGGTGTGGGCCCATCAAGTAAAAGGGCCAGGATGGGTGAGCTTGGCATTACGTTCTCTGACGCGGATTTGACGGGCGTGGTGATTCCTCATAACGACGCCCTTGTCTTAACCCTAAAGATAGGGAAATTCGATGTCAAGAGAATCTTGATAGATTCAGGGAGCTCCTCGGAGGTGATGTACTTCGAGACTTTGAAGCGGATGGGCTTTGGCCCCAAAGACTTGACCAAAATCAGGACACCCCTCATCGGGTTCAACGGCTCTTTCGCCTTGCCCGTAGGGAAAATTACATTACCAGTCGCCACTGGTCCCTTTGTCATCGACACAGAGTTTGTGGTGATCGACACGGACTCTCCTTACAACGTGATTATGGGGCGGACATGGCTGCACGCGTTGGGAGCGGTGCACTCCACTCTCCACCAGAAGTTGAAGTTCGCCACGCCAGAGGGCGTCATGGAGATCCGGGGGGATCAAGCGTCTGCGAAAAACTGTTTTTATTCGGCCGTCCGAGCCGGGGCGTCCAGCCAGGAGAAAGGGCGAGCACCGGAAGAGATCATGGAAAAATAGCAATTACAGTCCGGGCGTCCAGGCATGGATGACCCCCGGGTAGACCCAGCTGAACGATCGGTTGAAGACCTCCGGAAGGTTCCCTTGGTTGAAGGAGAAGAGGAGAAGTATTTCCTAGTGGGGACCTCGATGCCCGCGGCCGAACAGGAGGAGATGATCAGGTTTTTAAGGGGAAATACGGACGTGTTCGCCTGGAACGAAATGGAAATGACAGGAGTAGACCCTGAGATCATTACTCACAGGCTTCATGTTGACCCATCTCACAAGCCAGTAAAGCAGAGGCCGCGACGTATGGCCCCGCATCACACTAATGCGGTCAATGAGGAAATAGACAAACTCCTAAGAGCCGATGCCATTCGAGAGATACAGTTCCCAGAATGGCTGTCCAATACAGTGTGTGCAAAGAAGAAAGGGGGGAAATGGCGTGTCTGCGTGGATTTCACAGATCTAAACAAGGCCTGTCCCAAGGATGACTACCCCCTGCCGAAGGTGGACCAGCTGGTAGATGCCACAGCCGGATATGAACGGATGGACTTCCTGGATGCCCGAGCAGGATATCATCAGATCCCTCTCTATGCCCCGGATCAAGAAAAGACGGCATTTATCACTCCGAAGGGAGTTTATTGTTATAAAGTGATGCCGTTTGGATTGAAGAACGCCGGGGCAACATACCAAAGATTGATGAATCGGATGTTCAAGAAGCAGATCGGCAACACCATGGAGGTCTACATAGACGACATGCTGGTGAAAAGCAAACGGAGTGGTGATCATCTTACAGACTTGGCGGATACCTTCTCCACTCTCAGAGAGTATGGGTTGAAGCTGAACGCAGCAAAGTGCGTCTTCGGAGTGGAATCGGGAAAATTCCTCGGGTATCTGGTTAGTCAGCGAGGAATCGAAGCCAACCCAGATCAGATTAAAGCAATCCTGGATATCCGAAGCCCTCGCACTGTCCGAGAGGTCCAGAAACTCACAGGGATGCTGGCTGCACTTAACCGATTTGTCTCACGCTCCTCGGATAAATGCAAACCTTTCTTTGGAGCAATCAAATGTGCTGGGAAGAGTATGTGGAGCCAGGGGTGCGAGGACGCCCTGGCTGGGATCAAAGAATACCTGAGGACTCTTCCGACCCTATCCGTCCCCATCCAGGGGGAGATGCTGTTCCTATACCTGGCGGTTTCAGAATTTGCAGTAAGCGGAGTACTTGTCCGTGAGCATGAACACCAGCAGAAGCCGATTTACTACATCAGCAAGGCGCTCCTGGACGCAGAGACAAGATATCTGCCCCTAGAAAAACTGGCCCTGTCCTTGGTCACCACTGCAAGGAAACTGCGCCATTACTTCCAGGCGCACCCAATCACTGTCCTAACTGATCAGCCCTTGAAGGCAATTTTGAGGAAAGCTGAACTCTCCGGAAGGATCTCCAAATGGGCTGTAGAGTTGGGGGAGCACGACATTCATTTCAAACCCCGAACTGCAATAAAGGGACAAATACTGGCGGACTTCATAGCCGAGTTTTCGGGGGAGAATCCTGTTCTAGAAGGATCGCCTCCTC